GTGGATCCTACTGGGCTTGTTGAAAAGTCAACCAAAAAGACTTGGAAGATTTTTAAAAAATCTTTATGAAAAAATCAACATTTAGCTATCTTCTTGGGAACAGGTGCAGATGGAGAAGACAGGTAAAATGCAGACGTCTACAGAGCAGATTAAATATTGCGTTGGCAAACAAATTGATTTATATGATCAAAGATGTCCTTTCAACCTAAGATAGTTTGAAGATGTTTTTGGTGTGAAGACTGAAATTAATCTGAAGCATCCCTACTGGGTTTTGGTGAATTGTTCTGTGTTGATGTGTTCACATCTGTAATACTAATAATGTTCAAGATTTTTAATGTTTTTCAGCCACTTTTATTTTTATTTCAATAATTGAATTCTTAACTTTTACCTATTATTATAGGACTTTACAAATTCAAATTAATAGATACTTTTTCAGAGTAGTTTTACATTTACAGAAAAATTGAGCAAAAAGTACAGACATCTCCCATATGTCACCTCTATCCACTCTCCTCTCTCAGTTTCCCCTATTATAATATAATATCATTTTTTTGATGGGGGAAGGAAATTAGGTTTATTTATTTATTTTTGATTGAGGTACTGGGGATTTAACCCAGGACCTTGTGCATGCTAAGCAGGCACTCTACCACTGAGCTATAACCTTCCCATTCCCCTATTATTAATATCTTGCATTCATATGGTACATTTGTTATGATTGATGAGCCAGTGTTGGTACATTATTATTGACTAAAGTCTATAGTATAATGTTGTACATTCTATGGGTTTTGGCAAATGTACGACATACATCCACCATTACAGTGGCATACAGAATAGTTTCACTGCCCTAAAAAATCCTCCGTGTTCATCTATTCATCCCTCCGTGCCCCATAACCCCTGGCAACCAGTGATCTCTTCATTGTCTGTATAGTTTGCCTTTTCCATGATTTCACATAGCTGGAATCATACAGCATATAGTCTTTTCAGACTGGCTTCTCTGACTTAGCAACATGCATTTAAGTTTCCTCCATGTCTTTTCGTGGCTTGAGAGCTCACTTCTTTTTATGATTGAATAATACTGAATCATATAAATGTGTTCTGCTTTGTTTATTTATTCACGCACTGAAGAGCATCTTAGTTATTTCCAAGTTTTGGCAATTATGAATAAACGTTCATGTATAGGTTTTTGTGTGGGCATAATTTCAACTAATCTGGGAAATACCAAGGAGTGTGACTGCTGGATCATATGGTTAAGAGCAAGTTTAGTTTTATAAGAAACTGCTAAACGCTCTTCCAAAGCGGCTGTACCATTTTGCATTCCCATCAGCAATGAATGAGAATTGTAACTTATAGTGCTTTAAAAATCTGTTAACAGCAACAACAGTTAAAAAAAAAACTATGCATAAGCTGTCTATCAAGAAGAACCATTTGTTTGCTGTATATGGAGCAGAACTCCCCTCCACCACTCCTCCAATTATTGACTGTATTTTAATTGTCTTTTCTTAGTGGGTGGAGTTTCTCTTGACTGTGAAGGGTCTGCCTGTGGACAGATTCCTCCAGAATTCTATTTTTCATGTTGGATACTTTGAATTCCTGATTGTAACAGTGATTAGGAATTATTTTCTAAGTTTAAATAAATTCATATACTGCACTCAACACCACCACGTAGGACACAACGTCGCATTCTGCTGCATTTGTTACACAACAGTAAAATCTTTCACCAGGCAATTTTGCATGTAGACATAATTAACTTCAGTGTGTAAAGCTACCACAAAAAGTTTGAGTGTGCTCAGCTGAGTTATTTTTAGATGCATGCAAAATATTTTGTTAATGTAATTTTCTGATGACTTATCTAAACATTTGAAAGAAAGACAATGGGCCCTTTAGCATTGTCAGTGCTGAGCTCACCCAGCCCCTTCGCGCACCTGTACCCAGGAACTCCTAGGATTGTACCACAGAAATGAATTCCTTTAATCATAGACTCATGAGCCACAGAATCTCTCAGTCAGTCATAAGCCTGACCCACTTAAGTTCATAGCCAACATAGGATGTTTCCTCTAATCTTCCAGAATTCCAGAATATTCTATTATAGCAAAACAGAAATGTTTACAAGTTTTTCCTTTTCAATACATTCTTCCTTAGGCCAAACCAAAATTCTTTACCTGCAGTTAGAAAATCATTTCTTTGTGTTGTTTTGTTTCAAAAACATCCATGAACATTTCTCCTGAAAGTTCTAAGAGAGTAGATTTTAAACATTCTCACCACCACAACAACAAAAAAGTAGTTAAGTAAGGTGCAGGGTGGATTAACCTAACCTTACTGTGGTAAACATTTTGCAATACATACATAAATCAAATCATTACAGTGTACACCTTAAACTTATAAAATGGAGAGCGTCAATTATATCGCAATAAAACTGGGAAAATGAAAATGCCTTACATACATAAAGACAGCGCCCCCTTTTCCCCTGGCTTTTGTGTCATTATTCTTAAATATGCCTTTCTTTTTATTTCTGGCTTTCTCTCTTATTCTTGACACTACATATTTATTATCTTTTTAGATAATTCAATTAACATTTTCCAGGGCACATACTATGTGCAAAGTATTAGGTTAAGTTCTAGGAATCCCTTTACATCAAGGACAGGAGTTGGCAGACTCTTTTTCAGGTCCTGGAAAGGACCAGACAGCAAATATCTTAGGTTTTGAGGGGAGCTATCCAGTTTTCATCACATTACTCAACTCTGGTGATGTCGTGCCCAAGCAGCCGCAGGAAGCAGTAAAAGAATGAGTATGGCTGTGTGCCAACACAACTTTTTTTTACAAAAACAGGTGCTGGACCCCTGATCAAGGGGATCACTGATCCTGCTAAAATAAATGCAAATACAATATAGAGAGTGCCCTACATCAGCAGTATAAGCACAGTAAGTGTACTCTAAAGGCAGTCTGAACAACTTGCGGTTGGAATACAGCAGAGGGAATAATTCATTTCTACCTGACTTGGCTGAACAGGTTTTCATTTAGAAGGTGACTTTTAGAATTTAAAGGATGCCAGGAGGGAAAAAGGGTTTCAGAAAGAGAATTCCAACTAGTGTGAACAAAGAATGTGAGCATGAAAGAACATGTCATATTTGGGAAATTTCAAGTTCTCCTTCTGTGGCTAAAACATTGTATTTATAGGAAGATGTGAGGAAAAGGTATGCTGGAGGCTGGCTGTCAAAGGCCCTGAGGCTTCCCTTTGGGAACTGGATTTTAGCTGTGGGCCAACTGAGACACATTCAACTCTGTTTTAAAATGAATTCTGGAGGTCTACACTGTGTGCTGGATGTTGTTTTGGAGCAGGAGAGAGCAGAGGCAGAGAAACAAGTTATAAATCTATTTCTTTTGTCCAGGTGAGAGAAAAAGACTTGAACTGGGGGAGTGGCTTTGGTGGAGAAGAAGGACTTTCGGAGGTTGAATTGACAGGTCATAAAGACAATGATTGTTTCCAGAATTGTCAGATGGTCAACAGGTTGTGCCAGCTGTTTAGTACTCAGATTTGCTCTCAGACCCCTTCCCTGCCCTTTCTTTGTCTGGGATCGCAGGAAGCTGATCCCCTCAAACTACAGCTCCTGGCTCCCTTGCCTACTGGCTTCTGGATGGGCAGAGCCACATGGGAGCAAGCAGGCAGAGAGAAACCAGAGTATTTCTCCCCTCTCCCCCTGTCCCTGTGGCATCAGCAGCAGTGACTGAGTCTCCTTTGTACATCTAGCTCCTTCTGTGGTCCAAGGTTCCAACTCCCACTTGGTGGCCCTGGCTCTTGGGCTCCCTAACATCGCCTCTTCTGTGCTTTCACCCGAGGGGTGATGGAAGCTTCTTGTCGTTCTCCGCTCTCTCTGGGTTGCCTCACCTTCCTTTGTTTTCTCTTTCAGCTTTTCTGACTTCTTTGTAACCAGTTCTCTCAGTTGAACTCCCTAGTGTAGGTTCTGTTCTTCTGGCCGGATCGTGACTGATAGAGGTGTAATGATTAAAACAGTTGGGCAGTGCAGGAAAGTAAAGTAGGAAAGAAAGATAATTCAATTTTCAATCTGTTTTGTAGTCTGAAACAAGGTGCCTACTGTACCTATAATGGTCTTCATTCCTGCTCCCACTAGACCATTCATCACAAAGCTAGTTAGAACAGTTTTTAAAAAACCTAAGCATATCATATCCTTCCCTACTTAAAACCTTCCAATGGCTTTCTGTTGTACCTAGAATAAAAGCTGAACTCCTTAGATAAGCCTCTACCTGCACCTGCTCGTCTTTCCCTCCTCACTTACCCTGTCCAGCCACACTGATCCTCTTGCTGTTCCGCAAAATTGCCAAGTTAATTTATGCCTCAGGGCCTTTGCACTTGTGCTCCTACTACTGGAAATGCTGTTTCTTCAGCTCTCCATGCAGGTCTCTGTTACTGTGTCATCTCTTTAGAGATACCACCAACACTTACCTCCTTATCCTGGTTTGTGTTCTCTGTCACATGTATGAAATTATATCATTTATCTCTTTCTATTTCCTTAAAGCTTGAGGGCACATTTTTTGCCTCGTTCACCTTCCTATTCTTAGCACTTGGCCTCTATTAAGAACAGCATAAATATTTGCTGATGAATACATGAATAATTATTTCACCTTTACAAAGTGTTGTATAGCAGAAGTGCTTTATATTTTTTTATTACTTTACTTATTTATTTTTATTATTTTACTTTCATGCTGTCTCATCTCAACATGCTGTCTACTAACCCATCTTCACTATTCTGCTCTCAAAACAGTTGGAATCCTTTCCTCTATGAAACTTTCTCTCCCTACTCCACACAGGGACTTGACTTCTCCCTCCTTTGGGGTCCTTTGTACCCTAGCAAGAATGACATTTTATTGCAGATGTTTAACATTTTCCTCCTTTTCCTAGATAGTAACCTCTTTTTTGGGAGGGGAGAGGTAATTAGACTTATTTATTCATTTATTTAAATGAAGGCACTAGGGATTGAACCCAGGACCTTGTGCATGCTAAGCACGTGCTCTACCACTGTAGCTATACCCTCTCCCGCCAATAGTAACCTCTTAAAGGGCAGTAGGGATCATGGATTTTTACCTCTATAGCTTCAGTCTGTAGAATAGTGCCCAACACATTGTTACATTTAGTAAATATTTGTTGAATGAATAATGGATGAAATAGCAGATACAGGAAATTTTCCAGCTTCACATTTCTATTTGTTTCCATACACGATGGATTGCTGGGAAGGAAAATGGTTCCCTACCTGTAAAATGGGGTTGATAGTACCAAACTCACACTGTTTGTGGACAAGATTGGGGTAGTGGAATAAAAACGCTTAGCAAATTGCAAGAATAATTTGAGGAAAACTTGCCATTCCTGTATTATGGGGGAAGGGCTTTTCCCACGGACAAGGATGCATCCTGATGTGAATATCAGTTTTATCCGAGACTTGTCTATAAAAAATCTTAAACTTTCTCAAATTTTCATGATGATTTGGAAAGAAGGTGTTCTGATGGAGGGATGGTTAAGGTAGACTTCACAGAAAAAGAGGAAGATGTCCTTAGGAGTATGTGCTTGGCTTTTTCAGAGGTTTGGTTAATCCTGAGAGGAAGGCCTTATAGTATGTTTTCTAGGGACGAGGGTTTACTGCCCATAGGTAAGAAATACATGCTCAGAGAGGCCCTAACCCCTCATGTACAGTCCCCAGCCCAACACCAGGAAGGATGATTGTCACTGAGCCCTGGAGTGTTGGGTCTCAGTAGCCACCCTCTTGCTCTGGTGCCTTTAACTCCTCAGCTCCTGTTAGCTGTAACACAGAGAAACAAAGGGAGGGGTGAAGACGTATTTACTACTCTTTCTGCCAGCATCTTTATCCTTTGCCTCTCTGCTGTGCCATTTGGAAGCTGAGAGGCTGTTTTGTCTCCAGCCCTATTTTGCACTGAGTATCACTAAATGCCTAATTTACTATTAAGTGAAGATCAGAGGGAAGAAACAGATTTTAAAACATTTGAAAGTATTGAAGTGCCAAAGTGCTTTTTCTGAGGATAAAACTAATGACAGAATGTTGGTTTTCATCTAAGAGTTCCTTGAAGATAAAAGTAATCCATTAGAACACAGCTTGATTGACCCGGGTAGATTGTGGGGAGCATGGTGGGTGGGGACATTGGGTTGAACTGGCAGCCTTTATGTAAAATTGATTGTGGCCTCTGATTTTAAAATGAAGCCACAGTGTGGTGAGACACCTCCCCCTTTGTGTCATCCATATTCTATTTCCATGAAGGGGATCTTAACCATAATTTCAGTTTTAGTTAAAACACTTAAAAAAATCCCAGTTCTATTAAAACAATTATGGATATTTTTGCTAATGTAGAGAGGCAAGTTGTAAAAGAAACCCAAGATCTTAAAAAAATTAAAAAGAATTAATTATCTGCTTCCACCAACTCTCTGCCTTTTAAAAATTAAGTATTTTAAGAAAATATGTGTGAGTGGCTGGCAGATAAGCATTAGTTGCTCTTCTCTGAGCTCCCATATTTTTGTGTTCCTTCCTTTTTTTTTAAAAAAAATAGCATATTGCATTTAATTGTATGTTTCCACATCTATCTCCCTCATTAGACTTGAGCTCATCTGGGGCAGGATCAAGTCTCACCCATCTTTGATTCATCAGTGCCTATGATATGAGGGTGCCTAGTGCAGAGCTGTTTTTCAAAAACTATTGAATGAATGGAACATCATTTTAAGCTCTAGGCATCTGTTTGGCTCTCGGCCTAATTAGATAATATTTAATTCATCACAAGCACTAGCTCTTAATCAGATGAAAAGATTCTCAAGCTCACTTTTAATAAAAGAAGTACAAATTAAAACCGTACTGAGACACCACTTTTTCATGTCTCATATCCCTGTGTATGTTGTACATACAGGATCAGCACTTTGTTAGTTGTATACACTAACATTCTAGGGAAGGCATTTTGGCAATGCCTATCAAAATTCCAAATGAACATACTCTTCTGGGAGGAGGTAATTAGATTTATTTAATAAATTAAATTTTTAAAAGAGGTACTGGGGATTGAACCCAGGACTTCGTGCATGCTAAGCAGGCACTCTACCACAGGACTATACCCTCCCCCTCCAAATGAACATTGTCTTTAACCCAGGAATTCCACTTCTAGGAATTTGTCTGACAGATACTCTTCTACAGGTGGCAATGATGTATAGGTCGAAACACTTATTGTGTATTGTTTGCACTAGCAAAAGCCTTGAAATGATCTAAATGTCCACCAATAGGGAATTAGTTAAACAAATAATAGTACATGCATGCAATAGGCAGTCTAGTCCAGAGAAGAAAAAGAATGAGGCAGCTCTGTATCTCCTGATAGGGGATGATTGCTAAGCTGTGTTAAGTTAGAAAAACAAGATTTAAGGATGCAGCGTGCTACCATGAATTATTTAAGTGATGATAAGAGAATTTGCGTGCACATGCGTGGTTATTCCTGAATGGACTTATAAAACCCTAGTGAATATTGGCCATCTCTGGTTCAGGGAGCTGGGTGGATTGGTAACAGTGAGTTATGGTTTGTGTCCCTGGCCACACAAAAAGTCTTCTGTGACTCACTTACCCTTTAACTCTTTACCATGTTCCCATTGTTGTTAGGATTAAGTCCCAAATTCTTCTCATGACCTGCAAGGTGCTTTGTCACAGGACCCTTCCCTCCTTCCCCTGCCTCATCTGCAGCCCCTCTCCCTCTTGGCTTGGTCTTTCTGTTCCTCAAACACTATTCTCCTTCCCATCTCATGGCCTTTGCTGATGCTGTCCCTCTGCCTGGAACACTCCTCCCCTCCACCCTCACCTGCCTAATTCCTAGCGCTCCTTGAGGAATCAACTTCGAGGTTACTTCATCAGAGTGACCTGTGCTACCTCACCAGCCTAGGGTAGTCCCCTACAGATGCTCCCATGGCATCACAAACTCCTCTTTCAGTAGTAAGCAGTAGAGATGCAGTTAAATTAACTACTGTATATAAAAATAGATAAAAAACAAATTTCTTCTGTATAGCACAGGGAACTATATTCAATATCTTTAATAACCTATAATGAAAAAGAATATGAAAACAAGTATATGTATACGTATGACTGAAGCATTACGCTATGTACCAGAAATTGACATATTGTACCTGACTATACATCAATAAAAAATCTTATTTGCTTGATGTCTGTTTTCTTTTCTAAGCAGCAAGCTGACATCTGTCCCGGTTACCTCTGTACACGTGTCCAGCACAAAGCCAGTGCTCATAGACTGTTGTGGAAGGAAGAAAAGAAGGATGGAAGGAATGAAGGTGGGAGGGAGGGAGGGAGGGAGGAAGTGAGGAAGGTCAGTCATGAAGGAGAGATGAAGGAAGAAAGGAACAACCAAGACATTAAAGCCCATTGTAAAGCATTATCCCTATGTGTATTCTTCATTAGTAGTTTGTGAGCCTAGTATTCTCATATTTACCTGAAAATTACATTGTTAACTCTCTGGCCTTAGAATTCGTATTTCATAAAAATTGGATATTTTGGTTTATTGTTTAATGAAAAAAAATTATCACCACTGATGAATTTTACTTTAGCTCAGAAATCATGTTATTCTGAAGATTTCTTGTTTTACCACAGAGGGGCAGTAGCTTTTCACATGGAAGGTAATGATGCCTGTCTTTTATGGGTGAGAAGATGTTTTAAGATACACATGTTAGGCCTTTAGGCTCTTTAAAAAAATCCACATATTTTTACATTGATGCTACTGTGTTTAAATATGAAACAGATGATCATCTGGTTTGTTTAGAATGAATCAAGATTGTTCCCCAGCCTCCAAGGTTCTGAATGAGGTGGCTGCTGTCCCCTCCCTGCCCAGGCACACTAGTTTTCTCAAGGCAACATCGTCTCCTTTCCAGGCCTTGTCACTTGTTATTTCTTCCTGGAATGCTGTCCTCATCCAGGTTTCTGCTCCAATGTCAGTCACTTAGAAAGGGCTTTGCAGATCCTTCCATCTGAAGTAGCTCTCTACCCAGGAACCAGACAGGTTTTGTGAGATTTGAATTTGAGATAGAGAACACAAAATTATAGATATAAAAATTCACATAAAGTGAACACTTAGAAAAAAATTAAAACAAAGGACAAAACAAAAAAGCGGACACATGTCCCAACCATCAGAAAAGCTAGAAAAAGAATGCATATTTTTATTAATTAGCTGCCTGACATGATACTTTTTTATCCTACAATTTTGGCTACATACTCTTTGGTCACTTCCTCATATGACGATGATGTGATATTATTTTCTAGACAGTGAATAGAAATATAATTTTATAGTAGTAAAAAATTATACTACTACAATAGAGTAATATCGGTATAGCATATTGAATTGAAGCGTGTTTTTACGATGGGTAGTAAATTTCCTTTGGTTTCCCTACTCATTGGTAATGTCATGTAAATTTTTAGGATTGTTACCAAAATTTGATAAATCTCTATTAGGTTTTTTCTTATATGGTCACTAAGACTTTAGGGCATTTCAAGTGTTTCGTTTTTGTGCTGGAGAGTGTGTGGTGTGTGCATGTGTGTGGCGTGTGCATGCTCACGCGCGCCTTCACACTAGTCTAGAGCCACGGCCCCTGCAGAGGGCTCTTGGATAGACGGCGCCTACGCAGATGAAAAGCTCTGCTACAAGTTTCTTTAGCGTCAGGGTTATTGTCTCCAAATTCCAGTCCCCAGTTACTTATTACCACTCCCCTTGGTTTTCATTTTCTTCGGCGTTAACCACAACCGTTGCGCGCTTGCCTTTTTACAGATGGTGTTCTCCCCCTGCCCTGTGAACGGGCGGGGAACGGGCGGGGAACAGGGTCCCTGCCTGTTCCGCTCGGGCTGTGCTCCCAGAGCCTCGCACAGGCTTGGCTTAGGAGAGGGGCTCAGTAATTTCTTGAATGAATGAGTAAGTGAATGTTAAATGGGCTTTAATATCAATCTCTCGAATTTGTTATTGGAATTTATGAATGTTGATTTGTCAGAAGAGCTATTTTAATTTCGCTTGACGGCATAGACATTGTTACCAGCACTAATTGTGTGAATAAGATCCTTTTTGAAATGGCAGCTTTTACTTG